AATTTTAATCTCTTAAACCTTGAAGAAAAGATATCTTAAGAGGCTTAAAGTAAGCTTCCAAGTGAACTTCTTTTAGAAGAAGTCTTAAAGTTTTATGAAAATATCTTTTTATGTTTTGAAAATAAAGTTTTCTCTTAAAATAGCTTTCTATTGAGTTTTGAAAAAGGTAGTTGTTTATTTTGAAAAAGTGTAGAAAACTTTTAAAATAGAAGGTTAATAAACAATTAAAAAATATTTTCTTCAAACACTTTTAAGATTTGAAAATTATTATAAATGTTTCTCCTTAAGCTTTTTCTATCCTTTAAAAGATTAAAATTTTAAGCTCATTTAATTTAAATATTAAATTTTTTTAATGGGTTAATTGAATTTTAAGAGATTTATATTTTAGAGTGTTTTTAATTATAATAGAAAAGTTTTAATTTAATTGGATTATTTGTATTTTGAAAATATTTCATTTTGAACACATTTAATTTGTGTGTGTGTGTGTGTGTGTGTTCTATTTGAAATGGTTTTAATGTGATTACTAGACTTTCTCTGTTCACTCAACTTCCACGAGCCTTATTTCCTCCTTTATACCTCTCATCCATTAATCAAATTCATTCACCATTATCATATCTAATGCCCATTAAACACATGCTTGCTAAAAACAAAGGTGCAACAAGCAAGCAATCAACATACAATTTATCATCAAGGACATGCAACATGTAGCACATAATCCATGTAATTCATCCATCCATTACAAATTTTTACTATTTATAGGATTTTACAGGCACAAGCACATCACATTGATGAAAGGAATAATATTAACTAAACAACATATTAAGTGAATTATCCATAGGGCTTTCTTTAAGGACTCACATGCATATAATTATTCATACAAGATTATATATATATATATATAATACATACATTAAAACATATAACTATACATATATGTATGCATAAAGCACGCATTGATATATAATTATACATATATGTTAATTATAGACATTAATTTAAATTAATACATGAATTTTAGATAAAATACATGTCCATTTGCACACATATAAATATTTTTTACCTCTTTTACATCATAATGAGATTAAATTTAAGTTAGTTTTGATTTGGGTTAAGTTTGACTTAAGTCTTGTTTGAACTTGGACTTGAGCATGATTGGCTAAGGCTTACCAGAATTGGCTAAGAGTTGGCCTTGATTTGCCTGGATATGGCCTAGGCAGACTAAGATTTGGCAAGTGTTGACTAAGGATTTGTTTGGATTTGAATGGATTTAGCCTGGACTAGCTAGGATTTGGCAAGTTCTGGATAAGGACTCTTTTAGATTTGCTTGAATTTAGCCTCGACTGGCTAGGATATGGCAAGTGTTGGCTGGAACTTGCAAATCTTAGCCTGTGATGGCTAAGTTGGCAAATTTGGCAAATGCTAGCTATATCTGGTAGATCTTGGCCAAATTAACAAGTTTTGGCAAGTGCTGACAAGTCTTGGCTACATCTAGCAGATCCTGGCCAAGCTAGAAAGTTTTGGCAAGCTTAGACAAGTTTTGGTTGGATCTGGCAGATCCTGGCTATGTTGGTAAGTTTTGACAAATTTGGCTAGTTTTAACTGGATTGGCTAAAGCTGACTTGATTTGACTAAAGCTGACTAGATTTGATTAAAGCTGACTTAATTTGACTAAGGTTGACTTTAATGGGTTAATTAAGTTGTTTATTGGTTAATTAAGATTTTATTTAGTTAATTAAGCTATTTATGGATTAATTAAGTTATCAAATAATTAATTAAGGCTGTTAAAAGTTTAATTACAATTTTAATTGACTAATTAAATTATTCACTTTTTAATTTCCTATTAAATGATTAATTAAGATGTTAATTAATAAATTAAGCCATTTATTAATCAATTAAGGTAATGATTTGATAACTAAGGTTGTTATTATTTGAATTAAGATATTAATTATTTATTTATGATTATTTTTTAGATAATTAAGGTTATTATGAGTATAAATTATAATATTAATTAGTTAAATAAGGTCATCGTTATTTGATTAAGGTATTAATCAATTAATTATATCATTTATGGGTTATATAAGTTATTAAATCATTCTTAATATTTTGGGCAATTTTAGTTAATTAATTGATTAAGGGAATTAAAAGGTTAGTTAATTAGGCTAAAGCTTTTGGTTAAGGGTTTTTAAGAGGTGATTGAGGTTAACTAAGTGTGATTAGGTTCAACCAAGTGTATTTGAGGATCACTAAGTGGTAATTAAGGTGACTAGCAATAGTTTAAGTTTTGACCAAGGCTTTAGGAAGGTAATTAGAGGTGGATTATTATTTATTAATGTTAATTAGAAGATGATTAAGGCTAAAGCTTTCAAATTAGGCTTTTAAAGAGGGGGAACATATTCAATTTCATAAATAAACATCACATACACGTATTGTAATACATAAATAACAAATGTCCTATGGTTTTATTCATGTAATACACAATATTGAACTTGGAACAAATAAACATGAGACATTGTATAAATTACACCATGGAATACATGCAAAAGTTCACAGTTTGGACTAAATGTACATTTAAACGCTTCAATTTTTGGTGAAAACATTAATTAACGCAATTAAGCATAATACATGAATAAGCCACAAGATATTAACATAAAAACATAAAGGATTTTCGGTTTTAACATGTGAAGGATGTAGAAATGTAATTTGTTTCAGTTAGCATCAAATAAATTCATTAAAACACAATTGAATTGAAATACCTATAAAACATCAAAGTGTTTTTTGGTTTTGGACTAAAATGCATGGAAACATATATAATTTCATGCAAAAACATCATTGAAACAACATAGAACATGTTCAGATGAAAACCCTATGAAATTGAATAAAAGGTATGTATGAATTTGAGGAATTTTGTATGGAAACATGAATGGATTACTTGGTTTAAATTTACATGATGAAAAATGAAAACTTGAATTGAAAATAACGATATTATACCTTTGATTTATTGATGTATTCTTACTTGAGACCTTTCTTTGGCTTGAGGATCCTCCTTGTCTCTTCTTCTTGCTTTGCTCTTCAAAATTATTGGAGAACTTCCAAAGGAGTTCTCGGTTTTGCTATGGGAAAAGGGGAAATCTGAAAAGAATGATAGAAGACAAGGAGTTAGCCTTAGAATAGAGAAGAAATGTGTTTTCCTTGCTGATGCGGCATGAATTCTAGGAATAATGGTAAGTTTTGGCTTCTATCATAGAAGTAATGGGGATTTAGTGGAGATGATGGGGGAGTGGGTTGGTTACATGAAAGAGGGACTGGCTAGGATTAAGGAGGGAGATGGATTTTGAATTTAATGGCTAGGATCTATTTAAAATGGAGGGAATTCAATTTTTGTATATTGGGCCAATAGAATGTGAGCACTTGGATTAATGAGGTGTACAAATAAGGATAATTAAATAAAATAATGGCATTTTGGTAATTAAGGCTGAAAAGTGGGGCTTTTCTGTAAAGTTGTCAAATATGATAGAGATTTTAAATTATAAAATTCAAAGAGAATAAAATAAAGATTCCAATAGTTTAAATAATTTTAAAAATGAAGTTGTGTAGCCAAAGTTATGGTTATTTGATTTTCAAAGTTGATTGGACAGGTGATTATGATGGTTGTGAAGTTGACATTGACCAAAAAATTAACTTTGGTCCAATTGATAGAGAAAAATTTAACAAATTTAATGGTTCAAATGATTTTGGACAATTCAAGCTCGATAGAGATTCCCAACCTATGAAGATGAAAATGATATGACTATTATGGTGGATCAATCTCTCAGTTGGGTCCAAAGGCTTCCAAGGTAGAAATATCTTTTCCCAATTTTCATAGGATACTTGGAACTGACTACAAAGTAAAAAAATTGTGGAAGGGTGTCCAAGCCCATAAGTTGATCCATGAATGATCAGGTCCAAAACAAACTTCATAATTATAGATCCAATATCGATCGGCAGTCCCATTTGGATGCAGTATTTCAGAATAGCACTTTCCTTAGAAACTTTACCGATCCTCATCATTAGTAACAGTTTTACAGAAATGAAGAAGTGCCAGTGTTTCGAAACGAGATTTAGAAGTGTCGCAGAAAAACTAACATACCTGTTTTCTCTCATTTCCCAGACTTCAGTTTCGTATGTTAAATATTGGTAAATTTCATTCATCTGGTTTCTTGTTGGGACGAAGTTGGAATAATGGCAGATGGGAACGTTCTCGATCATATTTAATTCATTGATCCGTGCAGGAGTAAAATTTATCCATCTACCTTGCACATAGACGACTCCCAGGTTGATTCCATGCAAATTAGCATAAAATTCCTTCACCACAGGAATAACTTCCAAAAAAAATTACATCCAGTTCACAAAATGCAGTAGTCCAAGCATGATACACTTTAATAAAAGAATCTACATTGTATGGCATCAATGCTTTCATGAAGCCACTGCAATTTCTCAATTTTGAAAAGATTGCAGCGTCTGAGTTCAAGTAATTTTTTTAATCAATAAGCTAAACGGTTCCAAAGTTAGCTCAAAACAAAAAAGTACAACATAATGAATGATATTTCAGGTACAGATATGATTTAAATTCAAAAATAGGGAAATTTACATACATACCACGCAATTCTTATGAATTTACATATGTAGCACCTAAAGTCTGAATATGACATTTCACAGCGGCGGTAGTGTAGCACAGCACTTCCCATCATCGCCACACTATCATCTCTGCAATTGCTGTCGAGGGATTATTCAATCCTCGTTCCTTGATTAATCTCTTCTTCGCCAGCATCTTGTTGAATATTCGTTGTGCTTCCGCACTCATGAACTTTCTCCGGTTGAACACTCACATTCTATGATTTTCAGGGGAATTGGATGCCATAGGGATGAATTTGATGGAGTTTCACTTCCTTTTTGGGGAACTATGAACTTAGGAATCGAATTTGGGAGTTTAAAAGGGGTCCCCCCCGCCAAAAATCGCCCATTCAAACTCCAGAAATCGCCATCCCGCTGGTCTCACTGTCGGCGGCGTCAAGAATTGCCATCTCGCCTGTCTCGCCGTCAGCGGAGTAGAGGAGGCCGTCGACGCCGCCTGCGAGCCTTTAAAATAAAATTGCCTGGACTCTCAGGAAAAACCTGTCATCGGTGCACAAGGAAAAAATTGCACAGTTTTGCTCTGGTCGGAATGCGTTCCAATTTTTTTATATGGATCCAATTTTTATGATGATTCAAGGGTAAATAAGAGTAGTGGATTTCAATACTACCACAAACTAATGATAATTTCAAATAAAAACTATTACAATTGCAATAAAAATAAAGATAACTATAGGTTGCCTCCCATAAAGCGCTTGGTTTAACGTCGTCAACCGGACCTATTCAAATATTATTCAGGTTGACTGATCATTGAAAACTCTTTAAAATTTGGTATTTTACCCTCAAAATACGATTTTAATCGGTGTCCATTTACTTTAAATCTATTTCCAGTCTTTTGATCTTCAATTTCAACAGCTCCGTAAGTATAAACTTGAGTCACAGTAAAGGGTCCTAA